CTGCATTTTTCTGCAGGGTAACTAAACGCTTAAAACTTAAAAGAAAGAGTGGCAGAAGATGTGTCCATTCCTGGTAAAGGGGAAGGGAGAGTGAGGAAGAGAATGATCCAAGGGAATGTGCTGGGTAGATGGGGAGAGTTTGAGAGAGAAAGGGAATGGCTGTGTTCATAAACCAACCTTAACCTGATCACTGAATTAACCAATCTTCTGAATTTCCACAGTATATTGATGCTTAAACAAGCCAAACAAACTGGATTCACACAACTCGTTAAGGCACAAAACAAAACTTAACCATATGCTTGTAATGTTGTGCACAGATCTTAAACTGACCTGGTTAAGCATGTTGTATGAATCCAATCAGGAAGTGCTAAAGAGAGGAAAATGAAGGGGGGGGGGTATAGGAGAGTGGGGTCCCCTGGAGCATTTTGCTCAGAGCTCTATTGCGATGCTCCTCCATTGGACGAATTTGTTTCCCTTTGAAGTAAAGAGTTTGCCATTTCAGGAAGTTGATTTCTATAGTAATTTCGGACTTTCTGACAGAGTGTAGAGTTCTGTACAGATAGGAGAGTGACCTGGAGTGGCATGTAACATATCTGCCTGTTCAAGGATCCTTCTCTGTGTTATTCCTTAATTGAACAAAGCTATTATTAGCTGGACAGCAAGTTCTATAGTAATTTCGGACTTTCTGACAGAGTGTAGAGTTCTGTACAGATAGGAGAGTGACCTGGAGTGGCATGTAACATATCTGCCTGTTCAAGGATCCTTCTCTGTGTTATTCCTTAATTGAACAAAGCTATTATTAGCTGGACAGCAAAGAGCTTTTAATAATAGACAAGGTGCCATGGGGATGATTTTACCTTCATGGCATAGGGACTCAGGTGTTGAATGACTGAAATATGATGCTCTCCCATGGAGTATGGCAGCTTCATGAATTAGGAAAAGGTATAAGCTGCTCAATTGGCAGGGGGCGGGGGGAGAACTTGTATCAACAGAAAGTAGGGACCTCAAAAGCTGACTTCTTCTGTAGGCTGGAATTGGAGGCTTTTTTGGCTACGTATATGTTTTTTGAGTTCATAAGAAGTCCAAGGCTCTCTTTTCCCCCCAAATGATAAAGCTACATTCTTGTCAATGGTTTCCTCATGTGTATGATTATAACAATGACAATTGATGTCTATTTGGCACAATGGGCTTGGAGTACCTGCTGGTATCTCCCTTCTGCAGTTGGGTGGTGCTACCTATGCAACTGAACTTCATTTCTGAATATTGAAAGCAAAGGCCTGATTAGGTTTTGGAAGATGCTCCTAACTATCTTAACTACCAGAACTAGGGGCCTATTAAAGCAGCCTTCTCCAATCTGGCATATTTCAGATGTGTTGAAACTGCACCCGTATACTCACACCTGGAGATGCTACCTGGGGAATTATGAGGGCCAAAATCCAACATCTCTGGCCTGTTGTCAGCACTGCACGGTAGACTGGACCAGGAAACCAACTCCCCAGGAAGACTAGAATTATATGCTATAGTCACAGAACCTTGCAAATCTGCTTGGGCTTTTCTCCCTCTTATATCCCAGTGAGTCAGGGAGGAGCTCGCCTGAGTCTCTTCTTATCTCTGTCTCCTTTCCCAGGACTTAACAGGATTTAAGGGATGCTTCTGCCTTTATTGTTGACTTAACAGATTCTAGATATTTGCTTCAAGGTCATCTCCCTGGCTCTCTACAACTGTGCATAGTTGTGGAATACTGTACTATCAACTAAATGCACTTTGCAATCTTGCAGATAGCATAAACTCTGATACCCAACATTATTACCATATATATTCATTCAATCATGTCCGATTCTCAGAGACTGCCTGGACAAGTCTCTGTAGTTTTCTTGGCAAGGTTTTTCAGAAGTAGTTTGCCGTTACCTCCTTCCTAGGGCTGAGAGAGAGAGAGACTGGCCCAAGGTCACCCAGAGGGCTTGTGTCTATGTGGAACTAGAACTCACAGTCTCCTGGTTTCTAGCCTAATGCCTTAACCACTACACCAAACTGGCGCAACCTTATAAATAGAGATTAATAAATCTGCATCATATAATTATAATAATGGTAATAAAAAGAGAAAGAACTGGAGAAAATCACAAAATACAAAGACCTGCAAATAGAAGTAGAACGACTATGGCAAAAGAAAGCAAAGATAGTACCAATAGTAAGAGGTGCCTTGGGTGCAATCCCAAGACATCTGGAGCACCACTTGAAGACCATCAGCACTGACAAAATCACAATCAATTGCAAAAGGCAGATTTACTTGGAACAGCTTACATCCTGCAATGATACCTTTAACACCATCAAACAACAACATCTGCCTATCCCAGGTCCTTGGGAAGGACTTGATAAGTGTATAAAAATTCCAAATCCAGTCTAAACTTCTGGCTGACTGTGCAACCAATCGTAATACTTTACTAAACTGATTAACATCAAATAAGCTTAGTATGATGTGTGAATGTAGCCACTGGGTTTTTATCTGATTTAGTTAACTGGGAACTCAGCCTTTGGCATACACATACTTGCTAAATGATGCCTTCTCCCCACATATGTCACTTCTGTCAACCCAGGCTTGCTTTTTTCTTCTCTGTCCAAAGTACAATGTCTGCAATGAGATTTGCATTGTCCAAAGTACAATGTCTGCAATGAGATTTTCTCAGGCCAACTCACTTGATCACTTGTGAAGATGGCAACAGACCAGCCAGGCACTGTAATCCCAAATGGAGATTAGAAATTGGCAGTATCTTTTCAGCACTAGAAAGCAATTTGGTCTCACTTGGCTTTCTGGTTTTCAGCTGACGAGAATTAGTGTCAGAGAGTGATGGGGAAGGAGCCAAGGCCAGCATGAAACAATGATTGAAACCAAGTGCTGAGTGCCTTCTTGGTGGACCATCACAAGATGCTATGATTTCTCTAGGAGCTGGGAAAGATACTCATGAGTTTTGCCTGTAGTAAGTGGGAAAAATAATTTGCGCATGTGTAGAAAGGGAGAAGTTGGTTGGTGGTTTACTCTGTAGATGACTGTCTTTGATATGCCAGTTGTAATACAGCTAAATAACTATAGTCTCTAATTGTAATCTTATATTCCCCACTTTGTTAGATATTAATGCATTTAGCCTAGTATATTGCTGAATCCAGGCTAAAGTTAGTTGTATTTAATTCCCAAGATAGTTTAATTTAATTTTGTCTAAATTTTCACATTAATTTCTGTGTAAGTGTACCTAATTTCATCTAGAAAACAGCTTTATCCTCCGGGATAACCTTGCTGGTTGGGAATTTTGGGATTTGTAATCTCAAACTATCGGAAGTTTGGCGGGCTGAGGATGACCAATCTAGAGTCATCTGTGCTTTAGAATTTATCAAATGCTGACCTCTATTCCTTCTGATTTTGCAACATTCCTCACCAACAGCTGCATATTTGCTCCTCTTTAATGACTTCCCTATACGGTAAGAGCAGAGTTTTGCAGGTGGATATATGGAACCAGGTGTGCAAAAACCTAGTAGGGAGGGAAGGGAGCATGAGTTTTCTATGACTGCCTTCACATTACATGCCTTTCTGGTTACCAAGTTAATTCATTAGTCAATTATGTGAATACATCTGTTAGATCTTTATCTGACCTGGCAGTGCATTTTGTGAACATAGCTAGCAGTGAGAATCAAAGCCTCAACAGCTATCCAACTCAGGGCCAAACTACACATTACACAAAACTTCTCTGATAAACCCACTGCATTTATGTCAGGAAATTGGTGCATTAAGAAATGATTAGGCAGCTCCTTCAACCATCTGCTGCTTGACTTTCAGCTGCTTTCTTCCAAAGTTGCTGTTCAAAATAAATTAGGTTTGCCATTTCTAGGCTGCAAAAATCTAGACAACCATGAAATGGCAGCAAAGAGATACCGAAAAGTCTTTGCTGTATAATCTGAGAGGATCTCTGTCAATGGCTGAAATCACACTTAGCATTAAGCCATCACTTGTTTAATGAGCCACAACTGGTTGAGTTTATACATCTACTAAGCCATAAAATAAGATTTGTAAAATAGTAGCTGAGTTTGGATAACACACAAAAAACCCCATTATGGTACAGTGTCATATGATACTTTATTCTAAAATATTCTAAGCTGTCTAAAGGCTTTTCCTCCAAAATTCAGAAAAGAACATTATACAACCTTATTAACTGATACTGCTGGTGCTGGTCAAAAGGTTTTGAAATGCAGGGGTGTTCATCTGCAAGGTGATCTGAAATCTGGCCATTGGCTTTTCACTTCCTAGACATGCTGCTTTGACTGGTTTCACACATGCCATTAACCATACTTTAACACTGGTTTCTTACAATAAAACAATACAATGCATTTTTATTGATTAGTCATCTGACCATATCAAAAACTACAAAAACAGTACAGAAAAACCAGTAGGACATATTCATAATAAATTGTTACCCCTGAATAAATCATAACTGGCTAACTATGCACACTCATTAAGCTATCAACCATGGCAAATCCTAATAGCATGGTTCACATAACCTAATAAGCCAAAACCAAACCACATCATGACTGAGCCAAAGGCATCTGGTACAAACTAAGAGGCCAGGGTAATATGACATCATGCAAAGGACACAGATTTTGGAATGTCCATAATTTGTGGAATGTTGTCATGGTGCTTGGGTGGTCACTTGCCCCTCCCACCCCTTCCTATAGATGCCACGGAGTAAGCATAGGGTATGAAACAAGCTTTTATTTACTAAATTTCTATCCTGCCTTTATTTATTGCAACTCAAGGCAGTGTGCGTGATGCTCCTACCTCCTATTTTCCCTACAACCACCACCCTGTGAGGTACATTGGGATGAGAGACAGGGATATTATTAGCCTTGATGGCAGTGTGACTGCCTCTGAGGGCCATCTCTGGGAGACTATTGGGCTTCCTTTGGTACGTGGATGGCCACTGGGAGAACGGACTACTGGACCAGATGTACTGTAGATGGACCAGGGTACTGCTGATATTCTTATGATTGGCCCAAAGTCACCCAGACAGCTTCCATGCCTAAGAGAAGACTAGAGCTCACAGTCTCCCAAAGTCTAGTCCAGCAACTTAACTACTAGACCAAACTGGCTTTCAACTATATATTGTATATATTGTCAATTATATACCACTGGCCCTTAATTTATAATCATATAGGTACAGTTCCTCCGTGGTTAAGAAAGTTAATTTCAGTGGAAATGGCTCCTTAAGACTGCATACGTCCTAGGCCATATTCCCACCCTCTACTGAAATTAATTGGGCAAATTTTGCCTGCATAATGCCCTATTTGATATTTTGTTTTAATATTATCCCTGCCTAAACTTTTAAGAGCAACCGGTCTTTGTCTCTGGCACATTTCCTGTTCTGCTACAAAACTATAAGAGGCATTTTTAGAATTAAAAGTGTTAAACAACCTAAATATAGAAGAACAAAGATAAGGGTTTTAGCTGCCTCTGTTATTGGTCACTCCTATTCCTTGAATTAATCCAAGGAGCAGCTACTGCACTAGAAGTGTTGAACAGTTTACCTCTGGGCATTGAGGGAGGGGGCTAAGTGCATTTTTTAATCTGTTTCTCATGTTTGGGATAGGAAATGCACAGAATAGATGTAGAGGGAAATCTTTTTTTGCTCCTGCTGGATCTGCTGTAGGTCTGCTTTTGTATATTCACGTTGAGGGTCAGACTGCAGGCCACCATAATCATGCTTCTAGAGTAAGTGCAGCTTTTCTTTTTATTCTAAGTCCTTCTCTGGATCACTATCTTATTCCAGATTTGTTCCCTCACAAAGGTATCCAGTAAACAGTTTTTTCTGTCAAGATAAAAGTTTAGTATCCAGATTTAGAATCCTTTCCCATCCTCCTGACCTCCTATACTCTGTGCACAAGTGCTTCTTGTTGTAAACACAGGGGTACTATGGACAATTGACTAAAAAACAGTTTTTTAAAGAATACCTTTTCTCGCTTTACTGGCCAAATGCTTTTAATGTCAAGGCTAGTAGAACATTAGCTGACATTTGGACTTCAGAACCATGAACATTTAATAGCATATGAACTTTGTGGCTTCATTCCATGCAGTAGGGTTCATGTACAGGATAAGAGGGCTCCATGGTCACTTCCTTAATATTTGATTGATTGATTGATTGATTGATTATGTGCCATCAAGACATTTTTGACTCCTAGCAACCACATAGATAGAATTTCTCCATGATGATCTATCCCTAACCTGTTCTTTCAAGTCTCTCTGTGCTTGCTATGTGTGGCATAACCATGGAAAAATTGAAAAAATATACTTCAGAGGAAGGGGATTTTTTTTTTTTTTTTTGCTTAATCAGACCCATACAACTAATGCTAGCAATCATACTTCCGTCCACTACAAATATGCCAATCACTGTCTCTTCCCTCTCTTTTGCTTAGTATTTCTCTACAGAAGAAATCTGTAAAATGTGATCAACTGAAAAAAATGCCAATTTTCTGTCCTGGACTCAGTCTATCAAAGATCAACCAGTGAGTGCTGAAAACAGAGAAACTAAGATACGAATGACATATCTTCCAGAAATTACCACTGCTCCAGTTACAGGTCTCTGATTCATTTCCTCCTCTCTTGTTCATTCAAGTTGCCTGTTGTTCTTCAAGGCTAAAGTCCAAGGAAGCTCTTAGCTAATCACTTGACAAAGAGCTCTTTGTGATGGGTTCCTCTGGGGAAATCTGACTCTCTTCTCCCATCTTTAGAAGCTGACAAGGATCTGAAGTGCAGGAGCATAGATCTCTATTCTCTTTCTGTGGGCTTTGCAAGTGCACAGCAAGAATAATTTCTGTTCCAGGCCTCTTAGAAATGTCTCTCTTGTTTGTAGCTGCTCTTTTCTTTCCTGTTCATGGGGCTGATACTTCCAAGGTTTGCCCCCATCTATGCTTCTGCTATGAATCCTCCAGTTTTGTGGACTGTCATGATCGGCACCTGGCCCATATCCCCCATGGCATCCCTCACAATACATGGATGCTGAACCTGAGACATAACAACCTGAGTGGGCTAGAGGTAGGCTGCTTTGATGCTTTGTGGTCTTTGAAGATCCTCCTTTTGTCCCACAATTCTATTGCTAAGATTTGGCCCCAAACGTTCAAGTCCCTGAGTTTCCTGGAGAAGATGGACCTCAGCTACAACCTGCTTGCTCACCTACCGCGTGACTTCTCAAATGAGTTGACTTCCCTGAAGGATCTCAAGGTAGCCCACAACTGTTTGATAGCCTTGGGTTTTGAAAGCTTGCAGTATATGGAGAACTTGGAGAAGCTGGACTTGAGCCACAATCTGGTCACTTCAATCGAGAGAGGGACTTTCCGGGGACTCTCCAGGCTCCGACATCTCTACCTTCAGTCTAACAGGCTTGCAGTTATCCATAATGGCTTCTTCTTTATGCTCCAGAACCTGGAAGTCCTTTTGCTTAACAGCAACAACATCAGCTTCATTGAGGTGGAGGCGTTCACTTCATTACACAACATGAATCTTTTAGCTTTGACTGGCAACCAGCTCATCCATCTAAAATTTAAGACTTTCCTGAACATCCAAACAGTCAGCACCCACATCCAACTGGCTGGTAACCCATGGGCCTGCGACTGTGATCTCCAAAGGGTTTTTGGCAAAATCATTAGTGTTCGGCACCTTCATGTGGATGATTATGAAAACATCACCTGTTACAGCCCTTGGCAATTAGCTGGCTCACCCCTTGTTTCTGTGGACAGCCAGCTGTGCATGGCAGAGACAGCCACTGTCTTGGTGATCACAGTCACTGTCCTGGTGACAGTGATTGCTGCCATTGTGATGGCAGAAAGGAACAGGAAGAAGAACCAGGAGAAGAACTGGAATGAACTGGAAGGGCCTTTTGACTCACAGGAGAAATAAGACAAGGGACAAGAAATGGTCTTTTGATGTATTTCAAATGTTGTTTTACTCTGATTCTTTAATCCTGATCTATAATTCCAAATTCTTCTTCTTGTTTTTTAGTCAGCTTGGTGCCCTCCAGATGTGCTGGTATCCACAGCGGGCACAAGTGATGTCATGTGCATTATGACATCATTGCATAAATGACGCAAATCATGTAATTTACATCAGTCATGTTGTGCAGATTACATAATGTTCTTTGTGCTATTTATGTATTTATTTGATTTATATTTATTTATTTATTTATTTATTTAATAGACTTGTCCCCGCCCATCTCCCCACAATGGAGAGGGAGTATATCCTGCCTTTCATTCAGGATCTCAGGGTCCTAAAGGATCACAAACATAGTGCTCCAACCTATGAACTAGGTTGAGCTGAAAGAGAGAGCAATTGGCCTAAAGCCACTCAGTAGGAATGGCCTTGAAGGGCAGGAGGAGGAGCCTCTCCCAAGAGATCAGACAAGTTGAGTCCATTCAAAAAAACTAATTTGAGAAAATGTCTCAGACAAGCCTCTCCCTAATTTATACGAAGATAAAGTGTGTGTGTGTGGGGGGGGGAAGCACATTTGGACCTGCAAGATTCTGTTGCTGTTCCAATGAAAGTAGTTTTAGACCAACGTGGCATTGGTTTCTTGGTTTGGTCTACCTTATAGGCTGACACCCGGGGCCCTTCCCTGGCTGAGGGTGGAGTAGAACCCGGGTTTCCTTTCTCCTTCCCTAGCACACCACCCTGGTTCTCTATGATGAAAGATGTGCTATGCTGATGCATGTCATGTCATCATGGCTTGTACTGGATGTCTGGTTTGAGATTGCACACCGACAGTGAAATTCAGGATGTTATATTAATTATGGCACGACCTGGAGAGAGGGAGCCTTGCAACAATTATTTGTGTACCAAGAATGTGGCAGTGCTGTCATATGTGGGGCTGCTTTGAGAATGCTCTCAGAATTCCAGTCAGCCCCAGACAGGAGTCTGTGTGCTGGGGAGGGGGTAGGCAGAGTGGTATCAACCATTTTTAGTCTGCACTCACTTGACACCAGTGCTTAGCAATCAGCACTGCTGGACGTTACTTGTTTTTTCCCCCAAGTCAAATTCAAGTGCTGATTTAACCTTCAAAGCATTACAGGGCTTAGGACCAGGTTACCTGAGGTAGCAGGTCCCCTCCTGTTTTCCTCCCTGGGCCCTTTGGCTATTATGCAAGACCTCCTGAGGCTGCCCATTTAAAGATATGAAGTGAGCAGCATCTGATGGGGAAGGAGAGACAGTGTAGTGCAGTGGTTAAGGTGTTGGACTAGAAATGGAGAGACTCATGTTCTAATCTTCCCTCAGCCATGGAAGCTCTCTAGAGGACTTTGGGCCAGTCACTCACTCACTCACTCTGTCTCTCAGCCCAGCCCAGCCCACTTCAAAGAGTTGTTGTTGTAGTAAAAAATAGGAAGAAATGCTGCATATGTTACGTTGAGTTCTTGAATGAAAGGTGGGGTAGAAATCTAAGACATAAATGTTTTCTTGCAGTGACTCACTAGTTTTCTAGTTATGGTGTGGGGTTTGGGGCTACCAGGCAAAGTGACTTGTGTGATGATAATTCTCATAATCAGCTTTTTTCTCTAGATCAGTTATCCCCAGTCTATATTGGGACATTAGTCCAACGCCTGTGGAGAGTGACAAGTTGGGAAAGATTGACTGGGGGCTAGTGATATATTATTTTCTTCCCCATGTGAGTCCACCTGCATCCATTTGATCTTCCTAATGTAGGCTGGGCTGAGAAGTCCGGTGTCACCTCACAAACCTGGAGCCAACTTTGGTCTCGAGATACGGTACACACTTTCTGTGGCTGGATCCTTGGCTAAAGTAGACTGTACAAACAAAAAAGTACAGTACAGATGACACAGAGCTTTTCTTGAACCTACAAATGCTGGGTTCAAATCCGCACTGCTTAGCTTCCCCATCTGTTCCACAGGACCTCAAGGGAGCCCCTTCTCTAAACCTGAAGGCCGTCCTTCCCCCATCTCTTCCACTACTGCAAAACACTGTTAATACCTTGAAGCAGCATTTTTTCGGTGTTTCACTGATCACAGGCACTTTTTTTTTTTTTTTTTGGAAAACCTCAATTCTCATTTCTAATAATCTTTTGGAGGAAATTGGAAACTGAAGAGACACTCAAACTCTCTCTGCTGATAATTGGGATCTGTAGATATACAAAAAGGTCAGTGACCCTGGTTTCTGAAATTAAACGCAGAATGTATTCTAAATTGTGCTAGCTAGAAGATGTACTTCAGGGACCTGGTAATGAAAACAGGAAGCTCTTGATTGATAGGATGACAAACACTGGCCAGGTTACAGAGGGAAAGTTTCTACAGATTTCTTATTAAAACCAACATTCCAGAAGGTTGCTTTTGGTTTAGTCCAGTCTAGTGTTTTTCAAATTGGCAACTTTAAGATGTGTGGACTTCAACACCCAGAATTCCCCAGCCACCCATGCTGGTTGGGGAATTCTGGGAGTTGAAATCCACACATCTTGAAGTCGCCAAGTTTGAAAAACGCTCGTTTAGTGTGTTGAGTGAACCCAACCAATTGTGAATTATGAATTATGAAATAAACAATAGTAAAACTACCATGGCTTAGTGTATTATGAGAACCCAGCCAGTGTCTATGAAATCTGGACAAAACTACAGTACAAACCCTGATCCGGAGAGTCTTAGCTAGCAAATGTTTGCAGAGAAACGGTACGGGATAAATATCTGGGCAGAGGCTTCCACTTGGAGATATGGACATGCAAAGGTGTAGAATCAGGATTCTTTATTGCAGAAGAAGGCCATCTGTGGCCTCACATCCTTTTAAGACTGCACCATTGAAAATGGAAGCAAATCACTAAAACTGAGCGGTTTGGGGGGTGAAAAGAAGTAGTGAAGTGGGTACATTAAATGAACAACCAACATACAGTACATGAAAAGAAAAGCAAAAAACACTCCTTCCAAAGAGATCCCCTTGTCACTGCTGTGCCCCTTGCTGCCTTCAGGTACCAGGAAGAGAAAAGATGGAAAAATACAGCCAGAAGAAGGTTGCCCATGCCTGCTTTAATGGGGTGCCTGCCAGTCTGCCTGGCAGAGAAGCTGAGACTCCCACTTCCTTTTACAGTGACCTTTTGGAACCTGCTTTATAAGGGTTAAAAGGGCATTTGATTCCCCATCTCTGTTCCTTGGCCTGTATGTCTCTGTTCATTGCCTTGGTGACTAGAGGCACACTCTGGTTTCCACGCCACATTGCTGTATTATATCTTTCCAGACTGTCAGTCCTGATCTATCCCCATCCTAGTTAGTGGTGGAGCCTCTCTGTTCTTTTACATTTTGTGTTGGCCCCCTGAGGTCCCATCCTGGAAAGCGACAGGGATTTGATTTGACTAAAATTGTTTGAAAGCAGGAAGTATATCTTATAGATTACATCCATGGATACTGTCTTTTCCCCTATAAATTCAAGACCAGGAGCACACCTGATAAAGATATTTGTGTCATTTGGTTACCTTCCAGCTCCTTCTTTCATGCACTGAGAAGAGCATCTGGAGTAGATCTCAGTGTGAAGTGTAGTGCCCAAATGTAGTGCTTACATTACAGTGGTCAGACTTTTTTTAAGTATCTTTGATTGATTGATTGATTGATTGATTGATTGACATCAAGTCAGGGTTGACTCTTAGCAATCACATACTGTAGACAAATTTTCTCCATGATGAACTGTCCCTAACCTGGTCTTTCGGGTCTTCCAACAGTGGACTCATTGCCACTGTCACTGAGTCATCCATCTTGCTGCTGGTTGTCTTCTTCTCTTTCCTTCCATCTTTCCCAACACGAGAGCCTTCTTCAGAGAGTTGGGTCTTTGCATAATGGGTCCGAAGTAGGATAATTTGAGCCTGGTAATTTGTGCCTTGAGTGAGAGGAAATATCCTTACCTGAGGAATTATCCAGTCCAAATTTGACTGAAAGTGAAACATCAGAAGGGAGAGCAGGAACCTCAACAATGGCCACCCCCAGCAAATATATAGCAGCGGACTAAGCAGGAGGGCCCTAAATCACAACTGGCCAGTCATCCAGTGTGCTGCACTAAGGAAGGGGCTAAGAATAACTTGGTTAGGGTGGCTGGATTGGAAAAACAAAGAAATTCCAAGTGCCTAAGCTTTCTACAAGTTGACTGGGTGCCAGCTACAAAAGGTAAACTTCTGCCCAGAAGCTTCCAACTTCCATTTCATCACATTCATTCTGGCTTTTGAAGCAACATTATCAAATATTATTAACACTATAATCATTACCAATACTTAAAACATTGTGAACGGTAAGGATCATTTTGAAAGAAAATTTCAGCTGAGTAGGGTGGAGTGCTGAAGGGGCCCCTTCTGTGTGGGGCTAGCTCTCCCAGGGCTTCCCTTCACAGCAGCCTTCCCACTATGATGGCATGTACGATTTGATCTAAGGTGGTGCAATTTTTTTCTGAATAGGCATAAATAGAAACCAGCACTTGCAAATTTTATCCAATCCCTGGTTGAATTTCCTCTTTTTTCCCCCTGGATGAGTATACTGCCATCTTATACCTTTAATGTGAAAGCTAGGACTAGGGGAAATAAGGGTTCAAATCCGACCCAGTGCCATGAATTTGGATGCTGTTCAACCAGTCTGTTTCACAGCTTAGCCTACAAGATTGGGAAGTGAAGAAGCAAGTTTGCTATCTGGAGATTCTCTGGGCAAAAATGAAAGAAATATCCGTGAAAAGGGTAAACAAAATGTCAGCATTTTTTTCATGGTTTCCCACATTTTGAAAGCATGTGGAAAGCATCCTCCCAAATAGTTGTCTTGATGAGTGTGTCCATCCAATCACAAAGTACCAATTGACCAGAAAGTAAATGGATGAAAATGCTCATTTTTTCCTTTTTTTTTTTTCTCCCTGGGGAAGTATACTTTCAAACAAAGCAATGG